TCGAACCCTATCCGCTAATTGGGCCATATCCCTCAAGTATTGTGTATCTAATTTCTTTCGAATGGAGTAGTCTAGGCCACCAGCAGCCATTTCGACTAACTCATGTTCAGGAACTACTGTGAAACATCTAGACTTCAAGAGTCTGAACCTATTCAGATAATCATCTATGGGCTCAATAAACTTCCTCTTGACACTGGCTAGTTCTTTCAGACTTATTTTAGATTGTCCCATGTAAAATTGTTCATGAAATAATCTCTCCAAAAGGGTCCAAGTATCTATGGATCCAGGAGGCAATGTGGTGAACCATGTGAAAGCGTTCTTAGTTAGGGAACTTGGGAAATATTTAATCCTAAGGTTCTCGTTATTTGCTATGTCTCCTGCTTCGGTCAGATACCTGGCTATGTGTTCGACCGTTGACTCATTGGTGTCTCCAGCGAATTTTGTAAATTTAGGGACCTTATATCCCCTTGGTAAATCAGTGTGCATCACATAATCTACTATGGGAGAGGAATAGTTTGGCCTTCTAATTCCTGTATTGAGACCGTTTTGAGCCATAATCCTTTCTATCATGGTGGTTAAATTATTTTCTGCCAACATGTTGTCATTTCTAATCCTGTGAACGACTTCATCAGCGTCTTGGTGTCGACCCACCATGACAACTCCTCTAGGTTGTTCTTCTCGAAACTCTGGGACTTCTAACCTTTCGACCCTTGTCCCTGGTTCTATAACTCCCCTTTGTGGTTCCTCTTGAATCACTGGGACTTCTAACCTTTGTGCCCTTGCCCCCAAGTTAACCCCCTCTCTGGCTGGTCTATAGGGTGGGTCATTAGTAATTTGTTCTATGATGGGTATGTTCGCTCGAACCCCTGCCTGATTCTGCCTACGCCTTTCTGGCGGAGCGAAAAAATCTGCTATTCGACTCATGTTGTCTGCGTTTTCTCTGTTGGTTACAGTTACATTTTGTACTATTGGGGCAAAGATTTCTTGCATAGTCTGCGCTAACACTCCTATCATATTATGGTTACTATCATCCATTAATTACCTAAAGGCCATCTGATTTTCTATGGTTAAGATAGGCAATGTATTATGACCCACTAAACCTTGGGTATTTGTTATAAATTGGTTGGCCCCAGATCCGGACCCAAATTATGGTGACGAATTTGATGTAGAATTGTGCAAACCCGCCATAAAAGATGTTGGCATCCCATAGGAGGGATTTCTGAGTCTAGTGCCATCGAAACCGGGTGGTCTAGTTGGTGGTGGGGTGGCGAAATGGGTTTGTGTCCCTGGTGGTGGGACAAATCCTGCAAGATAATCAGTGGTCCCTGTATTTCCTAGGGTCGAACTGTTGGTTGTTGTGCCACTTGCTCCATTTATGGCCACACTACTGGTAGAAGATGCAACAGACTGTGCGTTCGTAGGGATCGCGTTAGACGTCCCCGTCGAAACAGACATATTGGTGCCTGTTCCATGTGGGATATTTTGTTCCCCTTGTTGATTGTTTGGATTAGACATCCTACTACTACGTTTCCTTCTGGGTAAGGGTTGGTTACTATTGGTTGTTTTACGACTTCTGAGGTTCATATAACAGCGAAATTGATACTCAGAAAAGAACTTACACAGCGAAATCGTATCCTAAAATCTTTACTTTCGACTTTCTTAACAACGGGTCCTACCGGGTGTGCCAATTTGTTCACAGTGATTTCTGGTGAACAACCGCTAGTCTTCCAAACTATCGAATAAACTTAATTACTGTTACTCAATTTCTCTGGTAACTTGCAGGATCGACTAGATTGATCCTATGGAACATAGTTGTTTGGTTAAGTCTAATTGTAAAACTGGTATTCCTATTTAGGACTTCTAATTAAAGTGTTTCGAAGATATCCAATCCACTTCGATTTCTATACTGAATGATTCGAAGGACAATTTCTATGTGATATCAGGAATGTTCTTTAGAAAAGTAAAAATACTTAAAATGGGGAAAATGGCAGGGTTAAGTAAGAGAATGTAAAAGTTACTGAATGTTTAGAGGATTCGAACATAAGAAAAGTGTTTAAATGCATAAAGAAATAAATGACTTCGAATGTAAAGGCTTTAATGTAAAGGCATAAACGTAAAATTGTTTGAAGCACAAATGAAATGGAAGTGAAAGACAAAACTGGAAAATGTAAAGAGTTTTCATTGAATTGTAAATGTTGGTGTTATCATACGTACATATTTTGAGCATTCGTTTCCCTATCCATGCGGTATTTTGAATATTTACCGAATTTGTACAACAGATATGACACCCTGAAATCCTAACACTAAGACCTATATTTATACTACTTCGACCATAACGGTCTTGTTATCAGACTCTGCCACGTTCGAAGCATGCAGAGCATTACTTCTCTCTAGCCTCCACGCGTCCTCGAACGTTCCAATGCTTATGTATTTTGAATTTCCAATATCCCGCTCACGTTTGAATTTCAAGCGCCTTGGTACCGTCATTTCGAATTCGTTTCGAAAACAACCCTCACAAATATAGTCTCATCATTATTTTGAACAAGGCTTTAGACTCACACTCCACAACTATCATTCGAAACCTTGAACTTTAATATTTCCATTCGAAACAAACAGTCTCTTTCATTCCAAATCATCAAACTTGCTTTATTCAAACAAAACCCAATCGTCTTATTTCGAATCATAATATCAAAATCTTCAGCCAACACTCCCTAACACGGAATTATATATCAAAATAAAGGGAATTTCGTGTAGATTCTAGAACTTCAAGAATTTCTCAAATCGGAGTTATGAGTAAAAGTTATGACTTGATATGTGAAGGTTTCTCCAAGGTTGTGAAAATGGAAGTTTGGACATCTCTCTCTCTCTCTCTCTCTCTCTCTCTCTCTCTCTCTCTCTCTCTCTCTCTCTCAATACCTTATGATGGCATTTCTCTCTCTCAACTAATTCTAATTCATAATCATATATAGGAATGTTACAATGCCGACTCGAACCTTAAATAATTTCTCACTCTTGTGACAAAATCATGTTAATTAACCTCTCACTCTCGTGACAAGACTATTTAAATTAAGCCAACATTGTTACCGAGTCCCGTCGAAAACAACGGTCCTCACATGCCGGACTCGAAACAATTTAACCAGACATACTTAAAGAAAAAAAACATGCAATTATAATTATTAACCATAAATATAGGTATATTTAGATTTGTAATGATAAAACAATATTATAAGAACAAGAAACTAAAATAATTGCAAATAAATAAACCTGGAAGTAAAGCAGACGAAATAAACTTAAATAAAACTATGAACGAAATAAATCTTGAAACTTGAATAAAGCTTTGAAATAATGTCGACAAGATTGCGATCCAAGAGTACATAGATTGTAGACCTAAAACAAAGTGATTTCTGTCTAAAACTATGAACAGCGCTTCCGCGCATAAACTTGGATGCCCCAAACAATGAATGCTAGGTCTTTTATATAGTGAGAAATGATGGGAGTTACTTCCAAATTCGTGCGAGGAGTAGTGGAGATAATGGAGATCATGGTGAGAGAAGTTGAGAAAATCATGGGTTGAGTGGGTCAATAACATGGAGAAAAACCACGAAAACAAAATACATGACCTGCAAAAATAAGGTGTGGCGAGGGCCACAACTGCAGAAAGCTGTTTTTCTTGTTCTTTTGCTAATTTCTTTGTTACTTCCCAGTTTCTTTCTTTCTTCACATGGAGGCTCTTTGTTAGCAATATCTGAAATGCAATAGAAATACCGGTGTAATATGACATAAATAAATAAAAACGGTAAAATAATTCATGCGAGTCGTCGAATATACAATGTAATTTCGCGTTATTAAACTCTGCCACACTTAAGCAATTGCTTGTCCTCAAGCAATCAACCAACACAATAAAGGAAATGATTAAGTACGATTTGAAACAAGGGTACGACACGACTCCTAATCATACGTGGCTGCTAGGTTAATGTTAGATCGATATGTACTAAATGTTCAATACCAAGGACACCGTAACGACACGACATTCAAAGACTCCCTCTTTATGCAAACCAATTCGAGCTCATCCTATATCTCTCGTTTTTTTCTTTCACTCTATTCATTCAAGCGCAATCACATTAAGCTCGTTATCCGTACACGCACATAATAGTGAAATCAGTTAGCGACTATGATTTTTTTCTTTTCTTTAGCACAAGGTTCTGGTATTTAAGCGGTGGAGTCCCATTTTTCCCAACTGCGGTTGCGGGGGATCCGACCGTAGCCCACCCTACCAAGTCCAATACCAGTGACCTCTGGACCAACCTATAATGGGTGCTTATTATTAAATCCTTACATACTTAACAACCATTGGGCTAAATGTCCGGGTGAGAGTCACCTAACTTAGAAGGTTATTTTTTTTCAATCAAATCATTTATTTATTAAAAACGGAATCATTCACTTATATTCATCGACTCTCTATGTAGTTTGTGTTTAAGATGATGCTGATTGCTAATATAAACTACTTAAGAGCTACTTTGAAAACTTGAGCCTAAGGTCTTGACATAATGGGTATCCAAATCAATATCACATAATGAGGGGGTTTTAGGTGCCATAACTCATAACGGTATCGATTTTATTGAAACTTTCCCAAGTCTCTCTAACACAGCATAAAGTGTGACAATCTATATACTTTCAGAGTGTGTATGCCATGCATCTAAGAAATTTTTTGTTGCAGGTTAAAATTTTAAAATTTTGAGAAAATTCAATAACAACTGAAAAACAGACATACAGACTCGACATCACATGCAATGACTCGACCAATACAACCAAACTAAGTTTACTCCTAATAAGTACTAAATTTGGCCTGATGTTTTCTTGGACCGGTTTACCTTCGATACAACATTTTTTTTCTTTTTCAAATAAAAATTAAAAAATATAAATCATGAATATTGGAACTATAATTTAGATATTATAAAATTAAAAGGAGTTAAATTAAAACATATTATACAATAAAATATCTATACAACCAAACACAATAGAAAAAACGGATAGACGAGTGGGTGTTTCCTGAGAAAATAAAATGAACATCTAGAACAAAGTGCGTCTATAACTAATGCAAATGGGTCTGGCCTTATTGGCCCTTTAGGCTTATTTGGGCTGTCTGTTTTGCTCTTTTTTTCTCCTCTACTCTCTTCTACTTTCAGTAGAGGTGAAGGAACCATGCAAATCTAATTTGCCAACATGACGATGTCCTATCAAGTATGAAATTACAAAATTTTCACCATATATATGTCCAAACGCCATTTTTAGTCCAACAAGGTAGAGCAGTTATTTCTAGGCTGCTGATGCTCTTCTCACACAGAATTTTGAAGATAATGCAGACTTAATAAATTGGTATTTGTTTCTGAAATCTTAGTGAACTGGAAAGAGATTGTGTCCTCACAAGTGGTATCAATGATTGTACCACATCTGTCATTAGTGGCCGGTAGTCAGCTTCTGGTTGTATGCACATTGCTGCGATGGCAGCTACCTGTGAAACCCAGTAGTAGATAAAAATATTATCAGTCCAAATCATTAAGTCATAATGATGAGAATAAGAGAATAATCTGACCTGAACTAAAGCCTTCTTTGAGTACTGCCCGTGTAGAACTGGGTCAACCATTTCTACTACTTTTTCTCTGTTTGTCAACCTTGGAAGAGCCTGATAAATAATAGAAATTGTACGTCACACAATGGAATATGACATTATTACAAGCTCACTTAGATACTTAAGGAACACTATTATTTTCCCCTTTGATTATATAAACAAACTGGTCATGAATATTTGCAGAGCATTGTTTTCTAACCCAAGAGACAAGAACATGTTCTCCAGTGGGGCGCTTAATATCAACCGGTACACGTCCTGTCAGCAATTCGAGAAGAACTACCCCGTAGCTGTAAACATCTGACTTTGTAGTAAGCTTACCCGTGGAAGCGTACCTACATTATAATAACCAAATTACCCAGAAGAACAAAACTATGAAGTTAATGATTTTTTGTTAAAATTTATTACTAGTTTCTTTGTGACATTATAAAAGAACCCCTGCTAGAAATTAAGATTATTTGCCGTTGGCATTCCTTGGCATTCACATAGTCAATATATAAATGATTGTTTGATATCCAAATGTCTTATCTCAATTATGAGTTTGACTGTGTGAATGTTGGAGAATTACCGACGGCAGGCAATCCAAATTGTCTATCTAGCTAGTATTTAAAAATTAACAGCCTGCTTGATAGGGACTGGGGTGTGGCCATGTGAATGAGTTCTTTGTTTTGCATTGCACGTTATGAACTGGGAGTGGGTAAAGATAGATGTAATAGGGTACTCACTCTGGTGCCAAATATCCTGTGGTCCCCAACACACGGGTAGAAACCTGGCCATTTCTCTTCTCTGATCCCATCTTAGCCAATCCAAAATCTGACACCTTTGCACGAAAGTTTTGATCCAGTAAAACATTGTAAGTCTTGAAGTCTCTGTGGATCACGGGTGATACAGCATATTCATGCAAGAACTCCAATGCCCTAGCACAATCAAGGGCTATCCTCATCCGGGCCCACCAATCTAATGGTTGAGTTTTATCATTGGTTGAGTGAAGATGGTTTTGGAGTGTTCCATTTGGCATGTATTCAAAAATCAATAACCTGTGGTGTTGGTCAGCACAATAGCCAAGTAACTCCACCAAATAAGGTGAACGCAATTGGCTTAGAAGATCGACCTGCCATAAATGTCATTTAGTCTTCACACCCATGTGCTAGATTTTAATTTTAATAAAAAAGTTTTCATTCCAATTCTGTTGCATTATTTTAAAGCTCTTGAAATAAATTATCATCATTTTTATTTATTGTTACTGTCTTAGAATAATATATGCACACATCCTCAACAAATGCATAGCTCGAGTCAAACGCGATACCATAAACTAAGATAGGTTGCATAACTCAATCCTCACATTAAAATAAACTCTTGTTACCCCTTGTCATTTGTTTTCTATTTTCTTTGGCAACAAATAGAAACAAAAAAGACAAAAACATGTTCTCTTTACAAACTCAGAGTTAACAGTAAAATAAGACATTAAGAGCCGGTAGGTAACAAACAAGAAATATTAAATCATTGCGTACAGAAAACACAATATATCTCACTCACCTCTATTTTGAAGCCACGCTCTGCTTGCTTACCCTCAATGTGCAGCAACTTAATTGCTGCCAAAGTTCCATCGGTTAAGACTCCTTTATATATCAAACCATTAACTCCACCATTACCAATCACATTAGCTTCACTGAATCCACCCGTAGCAGCTTCTAGCTCTCTATACGTGAAAACTTGTACTCCTTTAAATTTAGGCGTGGTTGGTGTTCTGCTCAAATTTCCCCCATAAAGACACCCACTTTTAACATCTGAAATCAATGCCTCAGCCATTATTCATTAGTTTCAGAAGCCTCAACCCTCTAAACGTACTAGGGAAAAATTAATTAATTACCAAAACTTACATAAGAAAAATGAATTTGGTTACTAAATTTAGTGATGTACGAATTAGAAAATGATTTAAATTTTTGTAGTCTCTCATTCATACATTATTAAATTTAGTAACCAAATTAAAGGGCTTGTTGGGTTAATATGCAAAATAACTAATGCTATTCTATAATGTATTGTAAAAGAAAAATTCTTGTGGCTATCTCCCTAATCACATGTAACTAGAAACTCATAGACTTGTATATATGATATGATATATTTTTTTGGCCAATTAATTGATAATAACATGTATAAGTAATTACCTGGGCTAGAATCAAAAGACAAGATTGTTGAAGCTATGTGTCTGCTGCTTGTGTCATGAAGCACTCTACTTTCACAATCCTCTTTGTAAATCCCATTTTTGGTTGAAGATTTTTGGCGACGGATCAAGCATACAACCATAAAAATGGTAAATAAGAGCATAATTAAGGCAACCAATGTGACAATTAAGAGAATGGTTTTGAAAGGAAAATGGTGAGCATGGCTATGGTAATTGTTTCCTGAATGTAAGTGATGGTAATGGCGAATGAAAGTATGGTTCTTTGTAGAAACAATAGGTGGCCCTGAAGGTACAATGGTAGTTGTATTAACTTCCATTGGTGACCACAGAGAAATTAAGAGGCTTTCTCTGTGAAGTGAGAAATGGGAAGGCACAGAATTGAGGGTAAGGGAGAGAGGTTTTGTTTATAGTAGTAAACAAAACAATGTGGAGTGCAAAGAGGTTTTGAGACTAAGAGGACAGAGCATTTGTTTCTATCTTTCTCGTGAATATTTTAATCCAGTTGTTTTGGTGTGTGTACTTCATTCGTCTCTTTCTTTTGTTATTTTCTAGACTTGTCCTTTTCTTAGTATTAGAAAATCCAGGAAGCATTTTCACGGGTTTTCAATCAACCTATCCCTTCAATAATTCTCTAATTTCATGTAATGTTTCATAGTATAATTTTGGATTGCTTTTGGTACACACAAGTCATTATTTTTAAGGATCAAGGCTAAGGGTATAGCTTATAAAACCTACTTTAACTAACTCACTCACCCATCTTTTAACTAATGACAAAATCGTAGTTTATACAAAATTCAAAGCGGACAATATCTAATGAAAGTTATGAGATCGAAATATTAACACCAGCTAGAAAAACGGTTTATGCTATTCATGTGGAATGGCATGCTTTTAGTCCGTTAGGTTTGATTGACGGCTATTGTTGTAACCAATATATTCTTGTATGAGATTTTAGGTAGGATCAGTCGATTTGTGAAAAATCATAAGATTTAGATTGTTAGCACGACACATAAGATTTTTTAGATAGAAAAAAATATGATAATTTTATATATTTATACACATACACCGAAACATGAAAATTATAATTCAAGTCAATAAATAAAGTCCATCACGTTTTTGTGTACGGTCCTGCTTCAAAATGCTCGATGTTGATTACATTGACAACGAAAACAATTTTTCTCTCGTAGTAACATTCTTAGGTATTCTTGACACGTAAGATTTTATGATCTAGTACTAGATCTTGACTACATGCTCTTTAAGTCATAGGAATTAAGGTTAAGGATAATTTTTGAGTTGCAACAAATAAATGTAAGGGGATATCAAAATAATATTAAAACAAAGATTCGATGTCATGAGTTGTACTAGTATAAAACCTTCATAAACATACTTTGCTGAAACTCGAATGAATTTGTAGCATGTCTTTACTCATTCTTGTTTGGAAAAAGAAAACAAAATATTAATAATTATGCTATTGGTTTGGTGAAGAAAAGTCAAATTTATCTGTGCTCTATACTATATTGCTACCTGCATGGAGGGGTCAACTCTGTCGGACCAATTTACCTAGTGAGAGTGAAGTAAGGGGATGAGATGAATTTACTGGGAAACCGTGCCATTCATCTAGCAATTCAGCATTCACACCAGACACTTTCAATAATAACTCTTTCAAGTTCACATGCATAACTCAAAATGGTAGAAGTCAATTCTTTAACGTGTGTATGCTTTTTAACATCATTTGTTTTGGTTTGTTTTAATTATTCTCATCTGGTTCTGAATGTTAGATGAAGAAGGGACAAAATTATTCACTTGCTTTTGGATGCTGAATTAATTTTAGACTCATTAAGAAACTTAAACCAAGTTGTATTTTTTTAACTAACTCTTAGTTCTGTTCGTTTTTATTTCAGCATGATTTGATAGGATAGCTAAAAAAATAATAATGAATGATATATGTACTTGTGAAGTAGGATAAGGGGAGAGCCACGATAAGGGGAGAGCCTCCTCGTGAGTATGATTGCAAGAGATGGTGTGTCCTAGGGTTTTTGAGAAGTGGATGAATATTCAAGATGTTGGGAAAAAATAGAACATAGAAAAAGGAGGAAAAAAATAACATAAGAGATTAACGTGAAAATTTTAAAATCAGAGAAAAATCACGATCGTTGTCAAATGACAACTAGAGAATAATACCATGTGAAAATTATTATTAACACATAATATGCTCTCAACTTTTAAAGTGTCTTTGACTGGTGCATCTTGAAACGAAGAACTTGAATTTATATATAGTCTTGAACTCTCTTTTCTTTCACTAACTTTAATCTTATATATAACTTTTGACTATTTCTTCATTCACAAAACTAAGCAATGTGGTACTTTTTAACATGTAGATTTTCAATCAACTCCAACAA